TCACTTTACCTAAAGGATGTCCAAATAGTAAAAAGGAAAAATGAATGATGATTCAAAAAATAGTATTTGAATTTGATGAAAGATGCTTTGTCTGATGTTGTTGTTTACATTTTAAGGATGATGACTAAAAATGGGTACTGTACTGTATGCCACAAGACATTGCCTTATTGTCAACACAGAGCAATTATTGGTTGGCATTGACAATTACTGAAAAATAGTAACAAAACATAGATAACAGTGGTCTTTAGCTACTTGTATCCCTACTTATTCTGCACTTGACAGTGCATTAGATAAAGCATGAAAGATGTCTCTTATTCATTATAAAAATATAAGACAAAACTAGCCAATTGACAACTAAAAAAGTATAATGGTACTTGATTTAGCATATGTTTCATAATGTAAAATGTTACAGGGCAGATGAAAGCAATATCAATTGCTGTGAATTGGACATCCCAGGTAATTTGTATTTTAGAATTAATGGCCTTAGCATTTTTCTGAGTCATGAAGTATTTGCCTAAATAGCTAGTCTGACAAGCAGTACATGATGAACATGGGAGGGAGATATAAGTTAATGCAAGTTTACCAATATGTAGTATGTTCAGGAGTCTGAGCTGTAGATCCCTATTAAGCCTCGTTCAGTTGCATAGCAGAGTGCTATATCCCATTTTTTGCTGGTGCTGGTATTTATTAAGAGGATCATTGATTTTCTGATGTTGGCATGGCTCTGTAACAAGGATTATTGATTTTTTTCACTGTGACAAAGTGATGGCAAGCTATAACATGGCACCGAAAGAGAGTACCAAAGTATACCATAATAGTCCATGACATTGTTTACATCTCACTTTGACATGAGACTACACTTTGGTACCTTTGTCATAGTTGTCTGTGAAGGACTTGTACATACCATACTGCCTTTGCATGCACTGGTATTAGTTTCACTGTGCTGCAATGCATTTTGTGCACTTGTTACAATGGGGGAGATTTATTAAATCTGGTGCAGCTGTGCAAAGTAGTCCATCAGCTTGTTCAATTAGGCTTTGGCAATATAACCTGGAAGCTGATTGGTTTCTGTGCAAAGCTGAACTAGATTTTGCACTCTCCCGCATTAGTAAATAACCCCCTATGTGTTTTTAAACCAATTATTTTTTACATTATGGCTTTACTATACACTACAGCACACTGTGCTATGTTACAGAGTATCAAAATGTGCTGTGCAAAAATGCATGATTTTCTGTTTTTTTAAGTGCACCCCAATACAGCACAATGATGTGAAATGAAACCATAATACACAAAAACAATTGGCTTGCTCATGTTTTGGAGCTTCATTTGGTAATGATTCCAAAATGCAGCTCAGAGCTGCTGTCATGAATAAGCCCTTAAACTGTTATTCCCCCCAGATGATATGCCTTCCTACGTTTTAGAATAGTTTTGAAGTAGTCCTTGTGTTTCTGCAGTGCTTTAGCCTGTGTCAAAGCCATTATCATAAAACTCAGATAATACTGTGTAGTATGATCTTAACAGCACCTGTGCAACAATTGTTTGCTTTAAGGGTCCTTTCACTGCTAAATACCTTTTCTCACCAGCAGTTAAAGCAGTCTTGTGACTTCAGCTGAGCACCGGTTAAAGCTTATAGGAGTTTTCTCTAGGAGGATGGAAATCCCCTGATCTCTGTCTGGACACTGCTGATTGGCCCTGTGCTGATCACATGCATTCTCCTAAGAAAAAAAACCTCTCTAGCAATACACACTAACCTGAGCATGTGCAGAATGGCATGGTTCAGTCTGTCTTATCAGCGTGAGCATTTGAACAAGAGGGCAGAGAAGAAAAGGTCAAACAGCCTTTTTACACAATGCAGAGGATTAACCCCTTAGGTTCAATAGTGAGTATAACAAGCATGCTTTACTACATATACAGACTGATATTACTGTTGTGGGTTTATTAACGCTTTAAGTAACACAGATAGGAAACCTCCCCATCTTCAGCCTGTAACTGGAAAGTGGAGGCACAGAATGTTCCCTATCAGAACATGTGAATACGTGACAATTGATTAAAATCAAGTACTGCCCCTTCCTCTCCTAGTCTGGGTGCAGATATACAGGGAATTACAGATAATTAAAATAAATTGAGTTCAGATATGTACACTCTTTGCATTTTAATTATATTGAATTCATTTTAATTGAATGGATAACAACATTCATTGGTGTTTTTAATATCTGTTTGAAGGTCAGCTGTAAACATCATTCTGCTACATGGCCTTTTTCTACAACTCCTGATTGCAGGTCTCTGCTTCCAAATTCCTGATTCTGAGCTCTATTGTTTCTATTTTTATGCTTGTTCATTTGACTTTGAGCTTACTATGAGACTGCTCTACTGTTTTCTACCAGTTTGTCTGTTAATCAAATACTATATGGTTGATTTACTAAAGGCAAACAGACTGTGCACCATACAAGGTGCAGTTGCAAGCACAATTGCTCCATAGCTTTAGAAATGAGATAAAGATTCACTTTGCACGAAATATCCAATCACATGCAAGGAAAATTGAAAAAAAAAGTACTCTTGCTTGAACACGATTGGATGATGGAAGTCAGCAGAGCTTCTGCTCATTTACTAAGCTCTGCAGCAACTGCTCTTGCAGAGTGCAACCATTCTTTCAAAGAACACAGTCTGTTTGCCTTTAGTAAATCAACCCCTATGTTTCCTACCACCACCATTACACTGCTCACTTGTGCTCACTGTCCTCACAGTCATTGCACTTTTTTTTACTACATGTAGGGAATTCCTAGATCCAGCTCAGAACCTGCAGTCTGACAAGGCCACCTTATAGAAATAGCACATCTTTCTCAATGATTTTTTTTTTTTTTTAAATTAAAAAATAAACTTTTGTTGTTAGCCAGTAGTCATAGTCATATAACAAGATAGATTTATAAGATCTGCGTAAAAAGTTTTCACATATTTCATAGTAATTTTTAAAAATTAAAAAATGGCACTTGATGTTTTGGTATACAAAATGAAAGGTTTAAAAGTGTACATACAGGGTTTAGTTGTTAACTACACTGCTCAAAAAAATTAAAGGAACACTCTGAAAACACATCATATCTTAATGGGGAAAAATATCATGCTGGATATTTATACTGATATGGGCTGGGTAATGTGTTTGGAATGTAAGAATGCCCTATCGTTTGATGGAAATGAAAATTATCAGCCTATAGGGGACTGATTTCAAATACACCCCAAAAATTAAAGTGAAAAAATGATGCAGCAGGCTAGTCCATTTTGCTGAAATTTCATTGCAGGAACTCAAAATGGTACTCAGTAGTTTGGCCCCCACATGCTTGTATGCATGCCTGACAATGTTGGGGCATGCTCCTAATGAGACGATGGATGGTGTCCTGGGGTATTTCCTCCCAGATCTGGACCAGGGCATCACTGAGCTCCTGGGCAGTCTGAGGTGCAACCTGGTGGCAACAGATGGACCGAAATATGATATCCCAGAGTTGTTTTATTGGATTTAGGTCAGGCTAATGTGGAGACCATTCAATGGTATCAATTTTCTTCATCCTCCAGGAACTGCCTGCATACTCTCGCCACATGAGGCCGGGCATTGTCGTGCACCAGGATGCAATGAACCAGCGTAGGATCTGACAATGGGTCTAAAGATTTCATCCTGATACCTAATGGCAGTCAGGATGTCATTGTCTAGCCTGTAGAGGCCTGTGTGTCCCTCCATGGATATGCCTCCCCAGACCATCACTGACCCACCACCAAAACGGTCATGCTGAAAGATGTTACAGGCAGCATAACATTCTCGACGGCTTCTCTAGACCCTTTCACATCTGTCACATGTGCTCAGGTGAACCTGCTTTTATCTGTGAAAAGCACAGGGTGCCAGTGGTGGACCTGACAGTTCTGACGTTCAACAGCTCTATGGTCCCGGGCAGTGAGCTCAGGGCTCACTAGAGGATGTTAGTGCTCAGGCCACCATCATGAAGTCTGTTTCTGGTTGTTTGTTTTAGAGACATTAACACCAGTGGCCTGCTGGAGGTAATTTTATAGGGCTCTGGCAGTACTCATCCTGTTACGCCTTGCACAAAGGAGCAGATACCGGTCCTGCTGATGGGTTAAGGACCTTCTACAGCCCTCTCCAGCTCTCTTAGAGTAACTACCTTTCTGCTGGAATCTCCTCCATGCTCTTGAGACTGTGTTGGGAGACACATATTTATGTGCCATCCTGGAGGAGTTGGACTGCCTGTTAACCTCTGTAGGCTCCAGGTATCGCCTCAGGCTATCAGTAGTGATACTGACCCTAACCAAATGCAAAACTAGTGAAAAACAGTCAGAAAAATGAGTAGGGAAAAACAAATGTCAGTGGCTTCCACCTGTAAAACCATTCCTGTTTTGGTTATTGTCTCATTGTTGCCCATCTAGTACACCTGTTGTTAATTTCATTAATACCAAAGCAGCTGAAACTGATTAACCACTAGCCTACAGGGCACTTATACCCCCTTCCTGCCCAGGCCAATTTCCAGCTTTCAGCACTGTTGCACTTTGAATGACAATTGCACGGTCATGCAACACTGTACCTATATGACATTTTTATCATTTTTTTGTGACAGATAGAGCTTTATTTTGGTGGTATTTAATCACCTCTGTGTTTTTATTTCTTCTTAAACAAACCAAAAACCACTGAAAATTTTGGAAAAAAAAAAAGTTTTTTCTTAGTTCTAGTTATAAAAATTTTGTAAATAAGTGATTTTTCTCCTTCACTGATGCGCGCCAATGAGGCTGCAGTGATGGGCACTGATAGGCTGCACTGATGGACACTGATAAGTGGCACTGATGGGCACTGATGAGGAGGCACTGGTCGGTGGCACTGATGGGCATTGACAGGCATCACTGATAGGCACTGAAAGGCAGCACTCATATATGGCACTGATAGGCGGTACTGATAGGTGGCATTGATAGGCGGCACTGACTGGCACTGTTAGGTGGCACTGACTGGCACTGTTAGGTGGCACTGATAGGCAGCTCTGACGGGCACTGATAGGCAGCACTGATGCACACTGATAGGCGGAACTGACTGGCACTGATAGGCAGCACTGACTGGCACTGATAGGTGGCGCTGATTGGCAGCACTGATAGGTGGCACTGACTGGCATTGATAGGTCGCACTGACTGGCACTGGTGGGTGACACTGAAAGGCAGCTCAGATGGGCACTGATATGTGGCATTGATGTGCACTGGCAGGTGGCATGGATGAGCACTGACAGCTGGCACTGATGGACACTGACAGGTGGCACTGCTGGGGCTACACAGATCATCAGGGCACACTGATCACCAGTGCTCTGATGGTCTGTGTACATGTCCCCTCTGAGGGATGCCGATTACTGGCTATCCTCTCCTCTCGAGTTGTCAGCGTGACAGCTCATGAGGAGAGAAATGCCAATGCATTTCCCTATTTACATGCGATCAGCTGTGACACATGGATCACATGACCGAGCCGACATCTTCGGCTCTTTCTGTTGATTGGTGATCCGCTGTGTCCGAGGGACACAGCGCACTGCCGATCGCCGCACTGCACACTCCCGGAGCCACGCATGCACAGTTAGAATAGGAGGACATCATATAATGTCTTCCCAGAACGAGAGAACCGCCTTGCGCCTGTCATTGTACTATATGGTGTGCGGGAGGCGGTTAACAACCCCCTCTGCTACTTAACTGACCAAATCAATATCCCAGGAGTTTAATTGGCTTGATGCTATACTCTGATTAAAAAGTGTTCCTTTAATTTTTTTAAGCAGTATATTAAAAGGAACCATTGGTGGTCACCAGGTGGCATATCCCAACATATAGCTCGATAAAAACAAGCAAGCATGAACTTTTAAGGCAGCATGAGAAAACATAATAAACTCATTTCAATAAAATGCTTTGTAACATTTATTAGAGATTCTAATAAATGTTATCATACTTTTTTCAAAATCAGTTTAGATCATTTTCTCATAGTGCCTTGTGCAGTGTTAGATGTTTTAATATCATTAGTAGCTTTTTGTCTTAAAGTTTTGTTCTTTTCTAGTCTAGAGCAGATTGGGAATTTTTCTGGTTCTTTTGTATGGACAAACACATTAGTGTGCATGCCTGGGAAGTAAGAAGACTGGGGTGGCACACCTATACAAGGCTTCTATACTAAACTCAATGCAGAATTTTTGCTGAAGATCAAGAGAGAGAATGGACTGAACTGCACATCCATATAAGGAGCAGTGATGCATGTGCAGTTTAAATAGCTACATTAATTTGCAATTCAATTGCAAAAAGATCCATCAAGTTTAAGCTCTCACAATTCAGAGTTTTGGTCCAGATGAAGACACAGCAAAACCCCCTAGTGCAACACTATAGTGTGCAAAACTATACCTAATTCCATATAAGGCATTACAAATGATTGTATATAGGGCAATACTATACTAGCTTTAGATATTCCTATTAATGTTTTTACATATTCCTAGATTTTGTTTGCTGTTTCAGCTCTGTTTAACATTAACTGGAACCACTTTTCTTCAAATCCATCCCCAGCTCTGTTTTGTTTAGCTATATTCCATTTAGTCTAAGTGGGCAATTAAATTATTAAAGCTTTATAATTTTAAATATTCAAATGTATTTTCCATTTGTCTGTCTACATTACTAATTTACAAATATCCAGCTGAATGATTTTAATTTTACACACTTTTCTGTCATAAACAAAAATATTACTTTCTGCTTTGTACATTAAATTATTAATAAATGGCATGAAAAGACATTGTCACCATTTGAATATGTGTAGCATATGACAGTTAACTTAGCGTATTTACACTTTTGCAGTCATTAGAGAAACCCCACAATGTTTGTTATGTACACTATATTGCCAAAAGTGTTGGGCTGTCTGCCTTTACATGCACATGAACTTTAATGGCACAATCTCCACCTGTCCTCACCAGCTCTTCTCCACTTTCAACTCCCTACTCCCCCCCCCCCCACCTCCACCCAGTACCTCACTCACTGCCCACGAGATTGCCAACCACTTCCAAAACAAGATCGACGCAATCAGTAAAGACATCGCCAATGCTCAATCTACCTCCCCACCTAGCCTCCCTCCCACGATAACCCCCACAACTCTCCCCTCCTCTGACCTTGCAACCGCCCTGACCCCCACCACACCTAACATCCCGCACACTAAAACCTCCCCAACACTCCACTCCTTCAGCCTTGCTACCACGGAAGAGGTCACTAAGGTCTTCTCAGAAGCCCGCCTCTCCACTTGCCCCCTTGACCCTGTCCCCACACAACTACTACTCCGGTCTCCCTCCTCCTCCATCCTATGCTACCTCACCCATATCTTCAATCTCTCCCTCTCTACTGGTGCATTCCCCTCCTCCTAAAGCATGCACACATCACTTCCATACTCCAAAAACCCTTCCTGGACCCCACCGACCTGAGCAACCTTAGACCCATCTCACTGCTGCCATTTTCATCCAAACTCCTCGAGCGCTTACTCTACAATCGCCTAAGCTCCCACCTCAATGACAACAACCTCCTCGATCCACTACAGTCTGGCTTCCATCCCCTACACTCCGCTGAAACCGCCCTACTCAAAATCACTAATGATCTGCTAACAGCAAAAGCTAATGGGCACTACTCAGTCCTCCTACTCCTCGACCTCTCCGCGGCCTTCGACACAGTTGACCACCCCCTCCTGCTTAATAAACTATACTCCCTTGGCATCAGAGACTTCGCTCTCTCCTGGCTCTCCTCCTATCTGTGCCAAAGCTCCTTCAGCGTTACCTAGAACGCTGTCACCTCCCCCTCTCTCCCCCTCTCTGTTGGGGTCCCCCAAAGCTCTGTCTTCGGGCCCCTTCTCTTCTCCATCTACACCTCCTCCCTTGGCCAACTGATACACTCCCACGGCTTCAACTACCACCTCTACGCTGATGACATGCAAATCTACCTCTCTACCCCTCGCCTCACCCCTTCAGTCTCCGCCCGAATCACCTGCCTACTGAACGACATATCAGACTGGATGTCACTCCACTTCCTCAAATTAAGCCTTTCCAAAACTGAGCTCCTAATTTTCCCCCCAGCCCCACGCCCCCCCACCCTCTCCATCACGACCAACATCGCCACCATCAGTCCCACCCCCGCGCAAACCAAAGTCCTAGGTGTCACTCTAGACTCAAATCTGTCCTTCCAACCCCATGTCCAACCGCTGGCAAACTCATGCAGACTCCACCTCCTCAACATCTCCAAAATACGTATGTTCCTAACCCCAGACACTACTAAACAACTCATTCACTCCCTTATTATCTCACGACTCGACTACTGCAACTCCCTCCTCACCGGCTCACCCCAACACATCCCCGCTTCAGTCTATCCTGAACTCAGCGGCCAGACTCATCCACCTTACCAACCGCTCCGCATCTGCCACCCCCCTCTGTCATTCCCTCCATTGGCTTCCGATTGCCCAACACATTAAATTCAAACTACAAACATTGATGTACAAAGCCATTCATAACACTGCCCCAAACTAATCACCGACCTGATACCCAAATACCACCCAATCCGTACTCTTCGCTCCTCACACGACCTCCTACTTTCTAGCTCCCTGGTCTCCTCCTCCCAATCCTGACTGCAAGACTTCTCCAGGACTTCCCCATTCTCTGGAACTCACTACCCCAATCCAACAGACTGTCACCTACCCTCCTCACCTTTAGGCGCACCCTGAAAACCCATCTCTTCAGGGAAGCCTACCCCACCCTCACCTAACAGCCGATCTCCTCCACTCCTCCCACCACTCCATCCCCCACAGCCACTTTCTTCTGTACCTCCTGTACCACTATCCCCTCCCTCCTAGATTGTAAGCTCGAAAGAACAGGGCCCAAGAATGCCTGGCTTGCAGTCTCCCCTCTAATTCATCCAAAAGATGTTCTATTGGGTTAAGGTCCTTGCTTTGTGCACTGGGGCACAGTCAAGTTGGAACAGAAAGGGGTCATCCCCAAACTGTTCCCACAAAGTTAGGAGCATGATTTGTCACTCCAGTTAACATGTCTCCACTGCTCTAGAGTGCAGTGGTGGTGTGGTTTACACCACTGCATCCGATGCCTTGCATTGCACTTGGTGATGTAAAGACTTGAATGCAGCTGCTAGGCCATGGAAACCAATTCCATGAAGTGATCTATGCACTGTTGTGCTAATCTGAAGGCCACACTAAGTTTGGAGGTCTTTAGCTATTGACTCCGCAGACAGTTGGCAACTTCTGCACACTGTGCGCTTCAGCATATGCTGATCCTGCTTTGTCATTTTACATAGCCTACCACTTCGTGGCTGAGTTGCTATTGTTCCCAGTTGCTTCCACTTTGTTATAATACCACTAACAGATGACTGTGGACTATTTAGTAGCAAGCAAATTTCACGGATGGACTTATTGCACAAGTGTCAACCTATCACTATACCACGCTTGAATTCACTGAGCTCCTGAGAGTGACCATATTCTTTCACAAATGTTTGTAGAAGCAGTCTGCATGCCTAGGTGCTTGATTGTATGCACATGTGGCCATGGAGGTGACTGGAACACTTGAATCCAGTGTTTTAGAGGGGTGTCCAAATACTTTTGGCAATATAGTGTATCTTGAATGATTCTTTAAGAAAGGGTTGTGCCTAGCACAAAACATGTCAGAATAGAGTGTGTTTCTGCTGGCCATTTTAATAAAGGAAAATTATTTTGCATCTGTAAGGCATCTGTAAGGCATTCCTGTTGCTGATACAATGGATTGCTTCTGAGGCCAGCGCCTGAGATGTGATTGTGGGGTGTGGAGCCTGATCTTGCCTGGAGCACCATGTGAAATATTTGTTATGTGTTAACACATTATACCTATTTTTTATATATTACCTAAACAAATATTTCTTAACTTTTAGATGTTTCTCGGGAGTAAGGATGAACAGCCAGCCCTCTGTCCAGTGGGAGCTGAAAATCATGTACAGTATATATTTATACTGCTTCTATATATACAGTAACACCATCCCAGTGTCTCTGGTTCCTAACCACTGACATCACTGAAAATCCCTGCCATGGGTCAAGGAAGCAGTGACATCACTGCCAAATATGACCACTAGCCATATTTGGGTAATGTCAATGACCAGATATAGCCATGTGTCAATGACCAGATATAGCCATGGTCATATTTGGCCAATGATGTCAACGCCATCCCCACCCTTTTCCTTATATAGTTCATGACAGCTAGAGGACAAATTTATTAGAGACAAAAAGCACCAGCTGGGGCTTTACTGTGAGATTTATGATGCATACAACAGAGGATATAGCAATATAAATTTGGCAGCAGCATACCAGAGAGAAAAGGATACAAGTAC